ATCTTAAACATTAGGGTACTTCTCCTTGTAAAGTTTTACTGAAAACAAAGTATTTTTTTCTGCCTCACCCAGTATAAAAATCATATCATTTAGGAAAATCCATAGTTAGTTTTTCTTTTTAATTTCCTGACGCCACAATCAATTTTATAAATTTGTTTACTCTTTGTCAGGTAAAAATTTGACAATACATTTTGTCATGGCCCACTAATATTATAGCAAAAGTCTTAAACAGAAAAAAGGGTCAATATCGAAGAAGTTAAAATAAATAGCAAAGTATTAAAAATAGGTATATGACATGCTTCATAAAAGTTTATGTTAATGTAAGATGTGCCATTTAAGAAAATCGAGTATTATTTCAAATTCCATTGCGTCATCTTCGAATAAAGTTAATATCAAATACGAATGATCTATCTACGTTTAAAAATAATAGCGTTATCGTAATTTGTTGAAAGTGTGACAACAGTATTTTTTTTCTAAATAAAATATTGGAAAAAACTTGAAGAATTTTAATTAAAAATAAAAATTCAAAACAAAATTTAAAAATAAAATGTTCCGTTTAAAAAAATGTATCTTTTATTCGTAATGTTTTTTGAATAATCCTTTATACGTTAAAATAATTTTAAATTGTGAATCTTAACAATCTTTAATAGTTTTGTATTTACCATTTTCTCAAACTTTTTCAAAACAATGAAATAATGAACTTTACCGTTGGCTCACTCTTATCAAATAGACGTCGCAATTCTTGATTTCCCGTGACGTTACTTATACCAACTGCACCCGATAGCTCATCTGATCGAATTTCCGCAAGTTTTCGAACAATAAACAAAGCGGAATTTTTCTCAACACCTGGCTAAATAAAATTTTCCGCTTGCTTGCCGACTTTTCAGCGAAGATTTATGGAAAAACATATCCACCAACTTTGCCAAACAATTACCAAAGTTAAATATTTAATAATTATGATTGAACGCGAAATGGTCTCTATGAATTTGCGGGAATTCAAAGTAATCGAATTATTTTTGGTTGATAGATAATTGATGATATTTTCGTAGGTTCAGATGTTTTTCCAAAATCCGATTTAAAAGAAAATGGCTGTCGAATGCAACGGATATCAATATGGAACGCGAACAATGCACATAATAAGATCAGAGCAGATAAGTTAGCAGTTCAAAGAGTTGCATACTAGGCTGCATCGGCATTTGTATTCTTTTACCACACAATACACGAACGATTCGGGTTGGAAATCGTGATAGAAAAACATTAAGCGGATGACACGCTATTAACAGCTTTGAAACCTCAAAAACCCTCTCCCGTATCCGCAAAAAATACCCGCGTGAATATATCAATTAATTAAAACTAAAAAGCCACTCTAAAAATGTCACTTGGCATTTTATGACCGCTTGAATATTTTCAAATCCATTTTATTTGCGCGGATGGGGAAAATTATCACTTCAAATTAAATTTGGCTTTTAATCTTTATTAATAACCGTATTTATTTTAAAGCTGTTTGCTGGAATTCGAATTTGCGTTTATCCAGTTTTAACAATTTTACAATTGAAACGAGGTTTCCGCGACAGGCAAGAAATTAGGCTATATTGTGGACCTTGGTTTATTAACAGGGCTTCATGATTTAAATAAATATTAATTAAGACATTTCTACTATATTAAAATGGCGTTACAGCCCTGTTTCAGAAAATCCAATTAAGAGTTCCACACTTCTTACTGATCGAGAGATATTCCGTTTACTTCCGTGAGCCTGTTATTTAACAAATTTACCACTAAACAAAACTTGAAAGGATTATGAACGAAGTAAATCATAGAAATAAATCGCCCAAAATGAACCATATGCCACTTTTGATTTTATCTTATTAATAAAAATTTCGCGAGTCCGAAAATTAATTGAATATATTGGACGTGCGAGTATCAATTAATTATAACTACAAGCCTTCCCATTTCAATTTCCAACTTCATGTGTTTAATATGGATTAATAACGCTTCTTGGGAAATCGAATTAAATTAATTCCTAAAACTCATTTATCCGAATTTTTGTCCCGATCCAATAAACCGGATGATGCAATAAAAAAGTGAGAAAAAGGGGAGAAGAAATATTTGGTTAATAGGGCTAGGATTCGCAACTAACCGGTAATTTCCGCAAAGGAAATAGAATTACTGAAAAGAGAATTTTAGCTCTTCCGACAAATTTCAACTAAATAGAGGAATTTATCTGAGAGTTCGAAGTTTTAGAACACGGACATTATAAGACCTTCAAGACCGCTACCGAACTCTGTAGTTTTAAAGGATTAACTAATTAAAAGTATCCAGAACAAAACTCGAAACTTTTCGTCATTTTGAAAAGAGGAAATGTTATGTTAATATCCAGGAAAGCGACACCAATGGATACTTCAAGTTCATGTGAAAATACTTTGTGTTATAAGTACCTTTAGTGATATTATTTTTTCACTTTTTTCAACATTTTTCTAAACAAATTAATTTTATCACATTGTGTTACACCATCAACGAATACAAAATCTAATATAATATTTTATGACTAATTTATTCAAGTTCAAAATCCAGAGTGTCCTAAAAAATATGCCTCTATTGGGGGAAATAGAAAATGAAAATCAAAATCTATAGTTCGTTTACTCCAAACTAAACTATCTCAATTATGAAAAAATTGTGGTTTTAATGTCCCCACTTTGCTATTTAATCTTCCTCGATACATTTCATTAGACACACATAATTTGCTTAGCGGAAATTCAATTAACGATAAAACGATTTAGGCGAGGACCGTCAGCGGGACAAATTCGAAATAACCCCGGGGGAAAACTTTCTTATCCCAAACCCAGACATAATCTGTTATTAGGCGAACTAAAACCAATTTAACATAACTTCGGAGTTTAACTAAACAATAAGCTTTATTTCGCAAACACTGTTCCCACCATGGAAAGCACACTATTTACTATCTACACGGCTAATTTTATGCGGACCAAAAGTCTTCAGTTAACTTCAGGTTATTTGCAAAAGCCGCTTAAAAAACTATCCCTTTCATCCACGCAGCTCAAGTTACCTCTAACTGGGGGATCTTTCCGGAACTTTGCCCACCTGTTTCAGCGGTCTGGAAGATTTGCTTCATTTCGACTTAATACATAAATTCGTAAGTCTATATTACTATTATTATCACTACACCATGAATGTACCTATAAAAATTATGTCATATTCCCTTATTTGAACATAGAAATAATAACCGAAGTCTGTAAACTTCGTTTATTAGAGGCTATTTAGATTTATAAACATTATTTTTTATAGTTAAATAGCTCGGTTCAAACACCACAATAAGCTTCACAATTTGATATCACCCAAATGGCGCTTTTAATATTAACCTTTCATAAAAAGGAAATTAAAAAAAAACACTTCAGTTCATCAATCTAAACAATCATGAAACATTCGCAATACTTATAGAAGCCATATTATTATAATGAAAAATGTTTTTAATGATAAGTCGTTTCAAAAATCGACTGTTAATTTCTTAATTTGGAAAAAGATCTTTAAAATAATTAGTACTATTTACCTCCCTGAAAGACGCAAGCTTTTTAGACAAATCAGATGGTTGATTATTTCTTAATGTTTTGCAAATGAAATGGAGAAAGTGAAGGTATCTCAAAAATCTAAGCTTCAAACGATTCAGTTTGCGTATAACGGACTGACTGAACAAATTCTAAAGCAAGCATTGTGAACTATTTGTAGTCTATCACTATCCCTCGCTGTTAAAGCCGGAAAAAAACTGACTCACACAGAAATAATTTAAGGTTGGAACCCATTATTCCATGATTTGCATAGTTTCCTAAGCAATCGATAGAAGTATTGAGAGAGCCAATTGACATATCGAGTGAATCTCCGGTTAGTATCCATCCATAGCCCCAGACTTCAGTTTTAAGCTCTATTTCAACCTCATTAATTAAATTATTTTTGACATAGTCTACCTCTTTTCGTCGTGAGTTGATGACATAGTGAATGCAGAATCTAGGTCCTCGTTAATCTTCATAACACCATCAATTACTTAATTTGCTTGAAAAGAGTAAAGCAGTTGAGAATCCTCAGCGTAATTAATAAGAAATATATGAAAATCAGAGGAGAACCGAAGTTTCAAGATCGCCCTATATTACACAAAGCGTGCTAGATTTACTATTAACCTGTTGATCAATTTAGTTGACCTATCTTGAAAATCAATAAAAAGAACTTTTGGCAAAGAATTTCACTATCAACACTATCAAAATATCCGCTGTATTGTAGTAGAATAAGATAAGACACTTTATTTCGATCAGGCTGACAAAGCAAGTCATCAGTTTTTTTTTTTTAGCGGGGAAAAATTTTTCGTAATTTTAGAACCTTGGATATAGTAAGTAAGATACCAATTGGTCTTAACTGTGTGGCATTTCATCAAGAATCAGGAAATATTGCAAATTTAATGCAGATATTCATGATGTATTCGTGATATAAAGTTCAATAAAAATTGAGGCAATAAAATTCGAATATAAATTATAGGTCTCTTTTTAAAAAGAGAGGCTGTGTACTCAGTGCTTCGCACCAAATGGAAACATAGCGCAATTAGATATAAAGATTAGTGTAAAACTTAAAATTAGGATGGACGATGGAAAGATGGTAGTGAACGTCATTCAGAAAACAAATCAACAACGAAATGCGATCCGAGCAGTGGTGCGCGAATAGTGTCCGATGTCCTGATCGGCCACAAGAGTCCGGAACGCCTGCTTACACTCTTTCCTGGAGCGCTTTAGGCGTAGGTCTGAAGACGCACGCATGCGCCAATCGTATCCGTCCAGCCTCCCCCAAAAAACTCCAATTCCACTTCTCCCAAAACATCCATCCAGTGCCAGTGTGGTGGCTCAACACAACATTGACGCGGAAGTTCGCTCCTCATTTCGACGTTTCCATTTTCGACCATCCGTGCGTGTGCGCCGATTTAACCGTTCGCGAATTTCAAATTGAAATAGTTCGAAACTTTCGTTAATATTCTGAAGGTTTATTGACGGACGCTCCAAGGTGCGAGGATTTAATTTTGAATAGTTTGGCGGTAGTTTAAAAAAATCGGGGAACTTTCGTTTCCGGTATATTAAGTTAGAGGTGAGTGAGACACAGTATTTTTCTGCGAACGGTCCCACGGTAAATAGGGATTTTAGGAAATCCGGTGGCATCTGTACTATTTATTCTTTGCACTGATGTCGAGCAACGTCGTGTTGTTTTGCCAAACACACTAAGTGGTGCGTTCATATCGCCTAATAATTAATACAAAATAAAAACTTTTAAATTTATCAAGGTCCGATAATAAATACAAATGAATATACTGACGTATGCTGCACTACTTCTAAGTAAAATGCACGAAATTGTTTCACTTCTGCAAAAATTTATTTGTTAAATAAATTTTGAGTCATAACTTCTCTACCAAATCTTAAAATTACGAATTATGATACTATGGTAAAGTGAATACACCTCTACTTGTAGAATATAACGACGTCATCGTCGCATTCTGCAATACCCTGACGTACTGTAACATGTGGCATTCAATGACATTACAATATCTCTATTATTCCTTCATATGAGTTTGACAGAAAACATATTTTCTGTAGATATAGAAAAAAATGTTTTTTTCGTAAAAATTAATCAATATTCTTGTAAATATAAATTTTAAGTGGTGGTAACTAGAGAATCTTGTATTATTTCTTCATGTCATTTTTCCAGAAACTTTTTTTTATTTGCGTGTTATTGCACAATGTCCGTAGGTAAAAATCAGATCTTTTAAGCCAAACTAATGGTATCCATATACTCTTTGGTTTGTTTAAATTGTCATTGGTGGTCGATCTTTCAAATAAGCGGCCAGCGGATTTAATATGATTATTCTCGAAATTATTATATCCCATTCCGCTATTACAGTTTTAACAGTAGCGCAATGTATCGACTATATGAACAAATAAAACCGCTGTTGTGTTTTAATAAATGCAGATTTCATTTGGCCACACCATATCATTTTTCGTTTCAATTTGGGTTTATTTGATAGAAGTTTGTATATTTAAATCCCATATTTGATAGCAAAATGATCCATTCGCAGCATGCTTTTCAAAATTGCAATTAGATCGATGAATATATAGTAATGGACTTAAAATATACTAAAAGTCTATACTGGTAAAACTGATTTAAAAACCACAACGTGTTTCAAGCTCAAACTCGTTGAATTTTCTTTCTTCTTGCGTCCCAATGGAATCGAATTTTATCTTAAAATAATACCTCAAAAGTTGCTTTGTTTATTATTTTTTAATGACTGTGCAATTTTGCAAATATAAAAGTGATTGCAACATACTGAGTGTAATACATTTGTAAGTGCAAAATATTATACGACAAATGCTAATGGCCGTGTCAAACATTTGAACCCCCATATTATCAATATATTACCAATTTTAATATGACCACATTTTTTTCAAACTAGCAACAAATAGTCGAACGATACATATTTCATTACTGCTTTTACTTCTTATTTTTCTTCGTAAATTTTAATATGATGACATTTATTCAAACTAGCAACAAATAGCCGAACGACATATATTTCTTTACTGATTTCACTTCTTATTTTTCTTGGTAAGTTTTAAAAAACAACGCCAAAAATAATCTTATTTGCTGGCGTTTTACGCAGATAAAAAGATTTGCCAGTTCGTTAAAGGATATGCCGGTGGAGTTATCCGTGATAATGGCGAGCATATTATGACACGCAAGCTTATAGAAAAGATTTTGTCAAGATATATGGACCTGCAGGGAAATTTCCATGCCAGCCATGACATCGCAGTGTATTGAAGACTTTTTGGAGATGAGAAAATGTTGAATCTCGATTTTCTTCATACTTTAGACACAAATTTTATGTTTAAAAGTTTATGAAAGTGGGCTATAAAATAAAAATTTCAAAAACAAATATTTTTCAGGATTTCAAGGTTAAAAAAAAAACAAATGAATTTGTGAAAATTCCTTATATGGGACCAGTACATTTTAGGTTAATGCGACAAAAATATTTAATATTAATTGATTTAATTCATCAAAATGAAATATAATAGAGATATTTCGTAGTTTGGGTTAGTTCTGCTACAGATTTTGAAAAGTATTTCTCCCAAAAGATAACCTCAAAATAATTCAGAGTATTAATGGTATATACCTGAAATGTTTATATGAACATTATTTTAAAAATTCTAAAGATCACATCCGTAGAAAAGGACGTATTAAAAGCGTGGATACAAAATAAATAAAATAAATTAAACCTATTTTCTTCCATAGCTAGACCACATATAGCTTAAGAAATCGATACCGATTTAATAACTTTTTAATGATATACATTTTTGCCAGCTTTGCTGCATCTAATACTAGTACCAATGAAAAAATAGGTCAGCACAGTATTTTGTAGACTACAATATTGTAAATTAGTTTGCACAGACGAAGACATCAAGAGTGGATGATTTTTTGAAAACTGTGCTGTTTGATTTTGGCGATTCGGAGGGAGTTGTATCTATCTAATATATTTGTCCTGTTTATTAATTGACAAAAAATAAAGTTATTTCCTTATCTGATAATCGAGAAATCATACCCTGGTTTGATTACTTATTTAGCTCCTTGATAGTAATCATTCTGACAGATTGAGTTTACGCCTTAACACATAAATTTATTCAGGAAAATTAATTGGGGCGACGTGAATTTTCAATACCTGAAGAACGTGAACGCAACTAGAGAATTCGGTAGCCGGTTGCGAACAATAATTATTGCGTTAATACTTTCGCGAAGCCCCCAATCTGCCGGATATGGCCGTAAATATACAAAATAAAACGGTTTTCATTATCAGCATTTGTCTCCCGATTTAAAGCGTCATTTAATTAAAGTCGAAATTCTTCTTGTTAGTTCGTTGTTCACCGAAAATGGAATTAATTTTCGCGGTTCGATCCTTGAATCGATGTTTTATCTTCGTTAGTTTTAAATTTTGTTGTTTCAGAAACAGGTGAAATAAAAACATTTTTCAGTTGAGCGACATCAATTTATAGCTTCTCACATGAAAATTTCCAATAACGGAAGCTGAAGTAAAGTAGCGAATCAAAGGTGAAATCATAAACATTCGTTCCGTTTTCAGTGAGCAACGAAGTAACAAGAAAACTGGCGAAGTTAATTAATGACGCTTCAAATTGGGAAATAAACGTTGATAATAAAAACCGATCAAATTCTCTCTTTGTGGTTATATTCTTCAGATAATTAATAAACGTATAAATTTAATCGGTCTTAATGATTACTGCAAATGGGTTAAATTATCAGATAACGGAATTATTTTATTTGTTGGCAAAAACCAACAGAACAAATAAATTATTCGTCAAATGTTAAGATTATTATTAATCGTTTGCCTTGTTTAGAGCGACATATAATACGTAAATAAACCGATGCGGAGGCAGGTTACATTTATTAGAATTAAAATTTGAACTCCGGCAGCACCACCATTTTTGTAAAATGTTCATCAAAATATATATTCATTATACTCAATTAGATTTGGCTAATAATTTATTTGTTCAGCTGGTATTTTCCAAAAATTCACACTCAAGCTTATGGAAGAGGCTTTGTCAGGATATACGGGCCTGCAGGGATATTTCTTTACCTGCACAACGACGCTATGATATCGCAGTTTATTGGACACTTTTTTACTGGCGATGGAAAATTGTTGAATCTGCCATTTATTTCATACTTTACACACCTGATTTTTAAACGTGTTGAAAAGATATAAAAAATTAAATTAAACCAAACCGTATAATACTTCCATTGCGAATTAGATTCTCTTTTGCCGACACCATCTTTTTTCATTCAGGGACTTAGGGTTTCAATTAAAAAATATTTAAAAAATATAGAGATGGGAAAGTATCAATAACATTAAGCCGATCCTGAGTAATAGCGGACGGAAATTTGAGCAGAACCACTATTATTGTAAAATGAATGTTTGCTTAAAATATACATTCGTTATACCGAATTATCAGAGAATTTCCACAATAACCCACTAATTGGATGAACAAAGTAATAATGATATTAATAATTATTTGTAAATTTAAAAAAAAATACAAATGAGAAGAATTTTACAGAATTTTGAACAAAATATAAATACATACGTCCATATACATAATATTGTGACAGGAAGAGAAGCATCAGTAAAACAAGTACTCTTTTTATTGGTTTTTTAAAGGTTAGAGGTTTTAGCAACTTTGGCGAATTTGGCGCATTAGTATTAAATGTATATATACTCTAGGGAAAACTTCGTCTGAAAAGGGTAGTTTTAGCGGATGGTAGAGAAATGAGTCCTTTATATCTAATATTAGTTTATTAAACATATTCCGCTATTGAGCTTCTCTTAGTTTGTAGGATAATGCGTAGTGCTCGATCCGTTTTTCATGATTTACTTTTCATCGTTAAACGATTTAAGAACAAATCCTAAGCAGCACATTTTTCGAAAAAACTTGCAGGATGCTAGTCAATAAAATACTATGTTTTTATGGTTTCCAATTGGTATTAGAAGCGGCAATAATTGAATTAAAAAATTGGGACGTTAATTAATGACGCTGCAAATTGAGAAATAAACGCTAATAATAAAAACCGATTAAATTCCCAGTTTGTGTTTATATTCTTCAGATATTTAGTAAATGTATAAATTCCATCGGTCGGAATGAATAAATTATCAGATAACGAATAACTTTATTTTTTGGCAAATACCAACAGAAGAAATAAATTATTTGCCAAATGTTGAAATTAATCTACTGCCTTGTTTAGAGCATATAAGCCGATGCGGGGCAAGTCACATTTATTAGAATTAAAATTTGATTTGAATTGAATTATACTTACCTAACTATTTATATTATATGTTGGTATTTGTAAAAAAATGACACTGAAGCTTACAGAGAATATTTTGTCAAGATATATATAATATCCTTATTATTATTACTTATCCTTTTTTGGCAACGGAAAAAATGTTGTATCTTTCATTTTTTTCATACTTTACGCACAACTTTTAGATGTAGAAATATGTGTATAAAAAAGTAAATCAAAACAAAAAAAGAACCTTATTTTTA